AGGGGTTGGGGAAGGGAAGGGGGGGGGGGGGGGCAAAACATACCCAAGAACCGCACAAAATGATACTTCTTGATCAGCTTCGACCGTTCCCGGCTCTTGGTCTCTTCCTCGAGATCGCGCTCGTAGCCCAACAGGGCGCGCTCCTGGGTGACGCGCACATCGGCGGGGAGGTCGGGCTTGGCGAGGAGGCGCTTGGCGGCGCGGATGCGTTTCTTGAGGTCGTTCACGGAGGTAAAGTCGGGGTTTTTCTTGAGAAGGACTTTTTTGCGGGAGTGGGGATGGTGATGGTGGCCGCTGTGGTGGCTGGGTTCGTCGAGGTGGTCGTCTGCGTTGTCGCCGCTGTGTTTGCGTTTGTTGGGGCGCGGGTGGGGTTGGTATTCGCGGGGCATTGTGGTTGAGTTTCTTTTGTTGGTGTTGTGAAGGCGAAGAGGAATGGGTTCTGTTTTGAAGGTCGGTATAATCTGCAGTGCCAGCCCGTGATTTCCAGCTTGCAGAGAAAAAAAATTACTCGATCGGGCGATTGATTTGATAGTATGTCCGGATCATCGGTCGGACCGAGGAGGTTTGCTCCATAGCCAATCATATGCGGTTTAGTGCCATGACGCGCCCATTCCGTTAATCCAATCCATGGGCTGGAACTACTCGGACTACTTTACTTTAATGATTGTACGGCTACACACTGTACTTCAGTGTGTGTACTTGCATCGCGACCTTGCAATTCTTACCACTGCTGCCTGCAGATTGCGCAGTAGGCTTGCGCATTGCTGTCTCTGGGGCAAGTAGGATTGTCAGGCCGATTCACACAGTCCGCCCTCCATGGGCTACTACATCTAGACCCCTGGCCTTCACCTCCAACCATTCCACTTGTGGATTGCCGTTGACGCATCAGATTTGGCTTGCCGGTTTCAGCAGTGTTGCTTCACACTTCGCCATTCTAACCCATCAGGCGGGAGTAAAGGCAGTCTAGATCATCGGTGACCAGTCTCATCGGCCAACCGGACTTTCATCGGCTTAGCTGCTCTTCCAGAAGGGGAGGGGGTAAGTGGTGTCGCGAGTGGAGGACCTGCTCGGGCACGCACCGCAGCAATGGAGACGGCCATTCGGTGGTCGCCGGCCTCGACGACCAGCGAGCAGCGCTTCCTGTCCGTGGACGTGGTGAACAAGGCCTTCCGCCTGTGTCGTGTGACGGCGTTCGACGGCCACCGCCGCCTCGAGCATGAGGTCCTGTCGACGCACACCAAGGTGCCCGCCTTCCGGGCCTTCGACTGGTCGCCCATGGACGAGTCCCTGGTCGCCGTGGGCCAGTCCTCGGGCGACGCGACCATCCTGCGCATGGCCGGCGACGCCCAGGAGTCCTTCTCCTTCCCCATCCGCCACCAGCGCTACTGCAATGCCGTCGCCTTCAGCACCCACGGCCTGCTGGCCGCCGGCCTGGACCGCGTCCGCAATGACTTCTGCCTCAACATCTGGGACGTCAACCAGCGCCTGACCATGAAGGCCCCCGCCACCAAGGGGTTCGTCGAGCCTCTGCGCAAGTTGGCCAGCTCCGAGCCCATCACCAGTATCAAATTCTTCAGGGATCAGCCCGACACGCTGGTCACCGGTGTCAAAGGGCAGTTTGTGAGGATCTATGATCTTCGAGGTGGGTTTCTGCTTTTTTGTCTTTGTCTTTTTACCTGGCTATTGTTCTAGGCTTCTGGGGGGTCTTTAGAGCTGATCTTTGTTCTCACGCACAGAGGGTCCTGGAAATCCGTCATTACAGTTCCCCACGCGCTGCGTTCACAATCTGGCTATCAATTGGCTGGATGAGAACTATATCGCCTCGTGTCAGGGGACGAATGATCCGGTGATTTGTGTCTGGGATCGGCGCATCGGTTCGCGCTTTATCACCCCCGCAGTGGGGGCGGTTACCCCTCTGGATGCCGGCCAGGCTGGCCCGGCGTTGGAGTTCAAGAACGTTGTCGCTCCCAAGTCGAGTATCTGGAGTCTGCGCTTCTCGCGTACCAAGCGGGGCTGCCTGGCGGCCTTGGCCAACACTGGTCATCTCAAGACCTATGACATAGCCAAGGAATACATGGCGGATGAGATGCGGTCCTCGGTGGACGAGACGCTGGGACATGGCTCGGCCCGCAACTATCCGGAGCAGATTTATACCAAGTATGAGCGGGACATCGTCGGCCCTTTCAACCACCCTTCCCGTGGCTATGCCGAGGAGGACAGGGTCGTGGCCTTTGACTTCCTCAATATGAGCTCCGGCAACGAGCCCAGCGCGATCACTATGAACGGTACCGGGCAGATCAGTATCCTTACGTCCAAACCTCCCTCGCCGCCTGTACGGCTCTCGTCACAAGGTTCCCTGATATGGGGTTCGTCGGATGACGACTCCGACTTTAAAGTGATCAGTCCCCCGTCCAACCCGGAGACCGGCATAGCGGAGATTGTGCGCGATGTACGGGACCGGGTATCGGTGCAGACCGGGGCGCCAGAGCACGACTCGGAGAGCCCTCTTTCAAGTCGAAAGGGCCGGGAGCGTGCTATCTCGCTCGGAACAGCAGGCGATCCTCTTGCCGTGGAAGATGCCTTGACGCTACTGTCCGTCAGCAGACTCCGATGCAAGGAGGGCTATCTTTTTGATGAAGCCCGGAACAGGAAGATACTGGCAGATGACCCTTGGCTCCAGGGATTCTGGGACTGGATTGAACGTATGTTCTACGCTGCTCGGAGGTATTGTCGCCCTGCTAATTTGACTAGGTGCGCGGTCTGCCTCTTCCAATGAATCGATGATCATCAACGGATTGGATCTGAACTACTTAGGGGTCTACGACGTGTGGAACGGCGATTTGGGTAAGAAAGCTTTGAGTGGGTAATGACAGTACTAACACTGGGTAGGGGAGAGCCTGGAAGCTCGACGCGTGAGCTCGGATTCACCGCCCGACATCAACGAGACGATTGTCCAGCTGGTTCGCGAGCAGCTGAATCTACCAGAAACCAAGGGCTGCGAGACAGACTATGCAGAACACCGACGACTGTGTCTACGAATCTGCGGCGCCGCGCAATCATACCGTGAATTAGAAGAGCTCGTTAAGAACCTCTCGGCAGATATGCAGCACACCAAGGCCGCCGCGTTAGCCATCTTCCAGGACGAACCCAAGCTTGCCTACCTAGCGTTACGAAGCCATGAGCCAGCCCAAGCGCACAAGCTTCTCGCCATGGCCATTGCCGGCGCTGCGAAAGGCGACACCGACCCGGACTGGGAGGAGACCTGCGCTGAGATCGCCAAGGAGCTGACGGACCCGTACGCGCGGGCTATCCTAGCGCTGGTCAGCCGCGGGGACTGGAACTCGGTCATCCAGGAGACCACGCTGCCTCTGCGGTACCGCATCGAAGTCGCCCTGCGCTGGCTTCCAGACGACGACCTCACCACGTACCTGCACGAAGCGACGCAGGAAGTCATTCGACAGGGCGACATCGAGGGCGTCGTGCTCACGGGTCTCGGCCACTCGGCCATGGACCTGTTCCAGTCCTACATCAACAAATTCCACGACATCCAGACCGCCGTGCTCGCGATGAGCCACACGGTGCCGCGGTTCATCAGCCACCCGCCGTACCGCGCCCGGTTCCAGGCCTGGCGCGAGACCTACCGGTGGCAGATCAATAGCTGGAAACTGCAGCTGGAGCGGGCCCGGTTCGACGTCGGCTCGCGCAAGTTCGCGGTGACCTGGGACGGCCGCAAGCTGATGGACCCGCCGCGCCAGCAGATCAGCCTCACCTGCAACTACTGCACGCGGCCGCTCACGCAGCACGACGCCTCGTCGCAGCTCACGCCGGCCGCCACGGGCGAGGTGGTGCACCCGACGGCCGGCAACCCGCTGGGGACGGCCGCCATGTCCGGCACCGTCTGCCCCCGGTGCGGTCGCCATATGCCGCGCTGCGGCGTCTGCACGCTCTGGCTGGGGTCCCCGGATCCCATGTCCAAGGCGTACGTGGCGGCCGATGCGGGCGGCGCGGAGAACCGACGGCCGAGCGAGTCGGAGCTGATGCGCCGGTTCATTGTGTTCTGCATCAATTGCAACCATGGCTTCCACGCCCACCATGCGCGCGAGTGGTTCGCGAAGCACAAGGTCTGTCCGGTGGCGGAGTGTAGCTGTATTTGTGATCGATGATTGGGAGGGATGATGTGCGAGGGGGTGAGGGCGTGATCTGTGATATACCCATATTAGCATTGTTCAATGGTAATAGCGATAGACCAGAGCCGGAAGATTAAGTGGTTGTAGAGGTAGACCGGACGGTACCGTCCATGCGCAAAAAGTGGGCCGGCGGACCTCCCGCCGATGATGTCAAATTCTCCGGGGGAAGAAAAAGTTTCCCTTGCCAGCAGCAATTGAGTTCAACCCATTCTTCAGATTTGAGGCACAAGGTTGGGCTCTATCTTGCTTGGAGCAGGTCAATCCAAGAAATCCGACCGGGTAGACCTGCATAGCACAATTCGTGGAGCAAGCTACGTACAGTTACTTGCGCTTGCTTACATGTGCATTCCAACCTCACCACGACTGTGACTCCTCGCACAAGAGATAGTTAGCAAGTGCACACCTTCACCAGCGACTCAACCCCCTTTTTCACCCCGCATGAGCAGCCGCTCCCTCCTTCTCGGAAGTCCTGTCCCGACTACATTCACTCGAAAATATCGATCCGCAAATCACAGCCCTCCTCTTCGCCTCGAGTCTCGCAACGCCTTGCCCCGAGTCAGCCGCTTTCCACCCCCTCAGCAGGCGTGCACCACAGCTACCGCTACAGCAACAGCTCCAGTCCCAATCCCAAGACCAAGACTAAGACCAAAACCCAGAACAGATTTTGGCATCATGTCAACCCACGAAACCCCGCCCAACGCTCCGACAGCGACCCAACCCCCTAAGAAAGACAACCGCAAAGACAAAAAAGGCGGCCGCGGAGGAGGCAGCGGAGGAGGAGGCAAACCGCGCCACGAGGACCCCAAAACCGGCCGCCAAATCACCGTCTCCAAAGCGATGTCGTTCATCCTGCGGCACGCGGCCGAAAAGGAAGGGTTGCGGATGGATGCGCAGGGGTATGCGAGCGTGGGGGATTTGGTATGTTTGCTTGCCCTTTTCCACCTCTCTAGATTGTTTCGATCTGGGGCGGGCATCGCGTCGCTGGGATTTCTTTTGATCTGATTTACACACAAAAAAAAAGGATGATGCGAAAGCTAACCACTGCCGGTTGGAAAAATGACAGCTCGCCTGGCGCAAGCTCAAATCCCTGAAAGTCACCTTCCCGGAGATCGTGGACGCGGTCGCCAGTTCGGACAAGAAGCGGTTCGGGCTGTTGTATCTCCCTCCTTCTGCTTCTACTTCTACAGCCACCTCTACGGCGGAGTCTACGCCCACGACTGCGGTGGAGTCTACATCCACCGCCGAACAAGCAGGCGACACAACCAGCCCGCAAACAACAACCAACGACACCACCGAAACCGCAACAGCCACCGCCCTCGCGGCCGCCACGACCGACCAAGACCCCACCCACTACCTCATCCGCGCGACGCAGGGCCACAGCATCAAGACCGTCGAGGCCGCGGGCCTTTTGGAACGGCTGACTCCCACCACCTCCAACCTCCCGTCGACAGTCGTCCACGGGACGTTCCACGGGGCGTGGCCGTTGATCCTGGAGTCCGGGGGCCTGCGGTGCATGGGCCGGAACCAGGTGCATTTTGCGACGGGGCCGGAGCGGGAGGCTGTGTTGGCGAGGTCGCAGCACGAGCAGAAGGAAGAAGGGGCGGTCGGCGGGGGCGGGGGCGGGCACGGGCAGGTGATCTCGGGGATGCGACGGGATGCGCAGGTGTTGATCTATATCGATCTGGTGAAGGCGCTGCAGCTGGGGTGTCCGTTCTGGCGCAGTGAGAACGGGGTCATTCTGAGCGAGGGGATCGAGGGCATGGTGCCGTTGGAGGTGGTTGATGCCGTGGTCGAGCGGCGGCTGGGCACGATCTGGGAGCGTGGGGCGGTCGTGCAGCAGTGGCCGGCGGAGTGGAGTCGGCGCCGGAATCCTAAGGGGAAGGGGAAGGGGCAGCAGGCAGAGGGGCGGGGGGAGGAATCCGACGGAAGGTGATTTTTTGGTATAGAGAATTGAATTGGATACCTTGACTACTTACCGTATGAACATATTGAGTAGGCTAGAGTAAGACTACGGTAGACATCGGAAGTTCAACTGCGGGGAAACTTACTAGGTATCGGAAGGGAGAATCCGAACTTAGGGGGGAACAAGAGGCGGGGTTCCTTCCGCTTCCGAAGCCAATCACCCTCCCTCAGCCAACAAATCCGGGGCCGCCGAAAGGAAAGCTGACCATCACATTGATTGACAGGCAAGAAGTATATAATCGGAGCTGGCTCTCAACCACTTAGCCCAACTCTCCTGTTACTATCGTATCCCACCCTATGCCCTATACCCCTGAAGCAGACAGAGAAGATCAAAGCAAAAATGTCGGCCCCCCACCGCTTCGACCCCACCTTCACCGACAATGTCATCAACGCGATGGGTCCCAAAACGACCCCGCGTTTCCGCCAACTGATGACCGGCCTCATCCGCCACGTCCACGACTTCGCCCGCGAGAACGAGGTCACCGTCGACGAGTGGATGGCGGCCGTCAAGTTCATGAACTGGGCCGGACAGATGAGCGACGACAAGCGGAATGAAGGGCAATTAGTGACCGACGTGATTGGATTGGAGTCGTACGCTGCCTTTACCTAAAACATGCCCTTACCCCCGTTTCCCCGTTACAACCCAACTCTCACTAACAAATCCCCGAACGAAACCAGCCTCGTCGACGAAATAACCTACACCCTCGCCGCGGAAGCGCACGACGCCCCCACCGCCACCGCGATCCTGGGCCCCTTCTTCCGGGCGGACACCCCCCTCCGCGCCAACGGGGAGTCGATCGTGCGCACGCCCGCCCCCGGCGGCGAGATGGCCTACATGCACGGCCGCGTGGTCGACCACGCCACCAAGGCGCCGCTCGTCGACGCCACCGTCGAGGTCTGGCAGGCCAGCACCAACGGCCTGTACGAGCAGCAGGACCCCGCGCAGGAGGAGTTCAACCTGCGCGGCAAGTTCCGCACCGACGCCGACGGCCGGTATGCGTTTTATTGCTTGCGGCCGACGCCGTATCCCGTTCCGGATGATGGTTCGTTCTACCTCTCTTTGTCGGTGGGGGGAAGGGTGAGGGAGAGGGGGTTATGGATGGATGGATGTGCTAACGAATCTGGGTGGGGATGTAGGTCCCGCGGGGAAATTGCTGGAATTGATGGATCGTCATCCGTTCCGGCCGGCGCATATTCATATCATTGTATGTTGACCCATCCCGACTCCACTTCTGGGAGATGGATTGTTGCTCCCCGAAAACCAAAGCTAATCGCTTCGTGTGGCAGGCCACCTACGAGGGCTACAAACCCCTCACCACGCAGATCTTCGATCGCAAGGACCCCTACCTCACCAATGACTCGGTCTTCGCCGTCAAGGACTCCCTCATCGTGGACTTTGTCGAGCGCAAGGGCGACCCTCAAGCTGGTCTTGAGTTGCAGTATGATGTCAAGTTGGCGCCGGCGTCGGCGTCAAGCTAGACGGTTTCGATGCTTCGGGGAAAAAATATGTGGATATCGTGGGGTGTGGGTGTACAGTACGATGCGTGACAGTAGGGGGTTTCCTGTATATATTGATTGATGTGATACCGAACTATGTTATTCATTTCTATACTTCGTCATGTGACTGTTTCAGACGATCCTGAGCTCGGGGAGTGAAAGACATTCCTCAGTCTACTCCTTCGACCCAAACCTCATCTCTCAAGTGCTTTCATTGTAGGACGACCGCCACTACATAAGAAACAACTCTACCAACAAGAACTACAAAGCAGCAGCAAACTCCCGAATCAGCCCGCCCACCTCCTCCGGCGCCTCGACGCAATGCCAATGTCCGATCTGCGCCAGAACCTCCATCTTCTTGCTCCCGCTCGACACCCGATCGAAAATATGCTGACACCCCTCCAGCGAGGCTGACTTGTCCTCCTCGCCCGCAATCAGCAGGAACGGGGCCGAGATGGCCGCGTAGTCGATGGCGGGCGCTTTGGCGATCGCCTGGCAGAGCGCCGCGTAGCCCTTGGGGTTCTGTCCCAGGATCAACTCGCGGATCAGGGCTTTGGCGAGCGGCGAGCAGCGGGTGCCGGTGGCGCCGCTGGGGATGGTGTTGGCCATGGGCTCCATGCCCGCTTAGTTGACAGTCAGCCCATTTCCACATTTTAGTAGAGAACCCGAGAAGGGGCTTACAGTTGGAGACCGTCTCGCTGCGCTGGGTCATGACCGAGGCCAATTTGTCGGACGGGTGAGTTGGGCCAATGGCGACGACGGCCTTCACGCGATCCGCATACTGCGCGCCCAGGAGCGTCACCACCAGTCCGCCCATCGAGTGGCCGACGACCACGGCCTGGGCCACCTTCAGCGCATCCAGCACGCCAACCACGTCGGCGGCAATGGATTCGATGGACACCGGCTGGCCCGTGTAGGTCGAGCGGGCGGAGCCATAGGTGTCCAGGGTGATGCACCGGTGCTGCGTTTCGAGGTACGGCAGGATGGGGAAGTAGTAGTTCTGCGAGGAACCGAGTCCGTGGATGAAGATGAATGTTGAGCCGTTGGCGGGGGCGCCGTCCGGGTGGGAGTCGGCGTAGTATATCTCGTGGTTATTGACGGTGACGGTAGGCATGGTGTCTTCCTTGTTGGTTTCTTGCGGCTGTTCGATGTTGAGCACTGATTTCTAGCAAAAGCAAAGGAAAGAGAGGGACCGCGTGATCGGAAGTTTGACAAGCAGAAAGCTCAACAAAGCTTGAGCGGGGTCGACGTCATGGCGTGGGCGGGGAACTTTGCTCGCTCTCCTTTTTTTTTTCTCCTCACGTTCAACTTGGAACGCTCCCGAGTGTGCCATTTCCTACTTTCTGCGGAAGTACTTTGTCTTCCGTTGTAGCCGTATATCCAGTCTTGTCGTGTCGTGTCGCCCCGATCATCCACCTGCTCCGAGTACCAAGTACCAAGTACCAAGTACCAGGCAAAAAGAATCCGTCGGATGATTTGGAGATGAGGAGGGCGGGCGGGGAACGCAAGCCGCTCAGCTTATCACCGCCCGACCCGACGAGGGGCTCCCGCCCAGGGCCGCCATCCGACGTGCGCGGATCGCCCGTCGGTTCGGAAGACGACATTGCATTAGGTTAATGCACAGTGTCCAATTTTAGTCTGTCAGTTATACATTGTCAGTTCTCACACAGCATCCAATGCAACCAATGCCTGTTCGAACTCCTCATCGGTGTCGAACTCGTGGCCCAATTGCTCCAACAAAATGGCTGTGTCGTCCTGAAATGAATCGCCTGCCGACGAGGCAGGTATAGCGCCTTGCACTGTCAAAAGCTCGGCGTGGGGTTTTTCCACAGCGTCTGCGCTTTTAGTGTCTATCGCATTCGTGTTTATCGCATCGGCGTTGATTGCATTGGTGTCTATCGCATTCGTCTTCAGCGCAATCGTGTCTATCGCATCGGCGCCCGCACTCAGGGTATCTCCAACATCCTCCGTGACCAACACCTCAGCCGCCACGGCCTCACTCTTTTTGATGATGTCCTCATCATCGAAGATGGAGCAATCAGAGAACTCGTCAACCTCCGCAAGGTCCTCCTCCCAGCCAAACTCATCATCCGTATCGGTAGTGTGATCCGCCGCAGCAGCACCAACAGCGCGCGCAGCATCCTCACCCTTCTCAACCTGCACACCACCCTCCACCTCGTCCTCCCCCAATATACCATGAACCACACCCTCCTCCGCATCCGTAACAGACCCACACTCCCACCCCTCAAGATCAACGTCCTCAAACTCCGCACCCTCCCCCAAAATATCCCCATCATCATCATCATCACCACTCTCAACATCATCACCATCCGCACCCCCATTTTCATCCTCACCCATCCCCTCACCACCCAAAATCGGCGGCGCAGGCTTCCGAATAAACCTCAACAACGAAGGCTGACTCGACGGCACGACAGGGGCATTCGGATCCGGTAGGCCCATGGAGCCGAGCCGCCGGCGCTCCTCGCGGTCGCGCGCCGCCTTCTCGGCCTTCTTCTTCTTGTTGGCGACGCGCTTGCGGTCGCGGTCGCGCAGCTGCTGCGCCCGGCGCTCGCGCTCCTGCTCGCGCTCGATGCGCGCGATCTGCGACGCCGTGAACTGGAACCGTTGGTTGCTGCGCTGGTACCGCCGGCGCACCGTGCGGGATTTCTCGAGGATGATGCGTTTTTTGGCCGGGGAGGCGGAGGTCGGGGGCATGTTGGGTGGCCTTTCACTTGGGTTCTTTGGGGGTGTCTTTCTGTTGGCTATAGGGATAGGTGGTGGTTGTGGTTGTGGTTGTGGTTGTGGTGAGGGAGGAGGGAAACGAAGGGCGGCGGCGGAGATTAGACGGAGGTATGAGTGGGATCGATGGTCGTGGGAACGGGACTCCTGGTTCTTGGGGAGGGACCGGTGGGGATAGACATTTGAGATTCTTGGGGGAGCTTAGAGATATGAGAGTGTTTTTGTTTGGGTAGGTGATAGGAAGTGTGGATAAGTGAATGTGTTGAAGGGAAAAAAAAAGGTAAACAAAGATGAGTGAGTGATGCCACCCCCGGGTAATTAATTGTTTGGAAGGAAACCATGGGGAAAGGCGAGGCGGAAGGCAAGCAAGCCGTTGCGGGGATACGTTATACCGAAGCGGGAGCATTGTTTGGTCCGGGTAACTGCACTGTGGGTGCTGCTAACAACAACAGTTAACATGACTAGGTTGATTGTGCACCTCAATGGTTTTAAGCGGTTGAATATGTATCACTATCTGCAGATCTATGTGCTCAAGCATAATCCCCACCAGAACAGCATATGCTGCTTACCTCTTCTACAGCTTCGAATCCCGAGCAGGGTCCCAGCACACAGGCGCATGTTCATCCGTCTGCAGACGACGCATATCCTCCTGAGTCAACTCAAACTCGAAGACCTGCGCATTCTCTTTGATCCGGAACTCAGTCACAGACTTGGGCAACGGGACATATCCCTACAATATCATGCATTAGCCATCCAGATCTCTCGCTGTGGAGCCCAAAAAAAAAAAAAAAAAAAAAAAAAGCTTCGCTCCAAACAAACCTTCTGCAAACTCCAACGGACCAAAATCTGCGCTGGAGTTTTCTTGTACTTCCTCGCCAAACTCTGCAGCATCGGTTCGTTCATTCGCCTCGCCTGCACCAGCGGCGAATAAGCTTCGACGACGATGTCCCGCTGCTTCAGCCACGCCACGATGTCCTCCCGGGCACACCAGGGGTGGATCTCGTACTGGCCGACGGAGATCTGGCCCCCGACGCCACTGGTCTGGATGTAGTGCTCCAGCTCCTCCAGGTGGCGGATCCCGTAGTTGGAGACGCCGATGGAGCGGATCTTGCCGGTCTTCTGCGCTTCCACGAGGGCGCGCCACGCGCCGAGTCGACCTTCTTTACCGCCGTAGGGCGCGTGCAGCAGCATCCTGTGTGTGTGTGGCAGCGTTAATCTCCTGGTAGTGAGCCCTCTAAGGGGGGGAACGAAAGATAGAACGTACAGGTCGATGTAGCCTAGACATGCTGCTGCGGACAGACTGGCCTCGATGGCTTCCTTGGCCTTTTCGTAAGACATATGGGTGTCGGGGATCTTGCTTGTGTAGAAGATTTCAGACCGGTCGATCCCCGATTTGTGGATGGCTGCCGCGCACTCGGCTTCGTTCTGGTATAGTTGCGCACAGTCAACCTGTAGCAGACGTGGGTAGTTGTGGTGTTAAATCCATAGTGCTGCAATGGTAACCGGGAGAATGGATAGAGGGCCATACATGACGGTAGCCAGCCTCTAGGGCCTTGAGGATCACTTTCTCAGTGACGTCGGGAGGGCTACGATGCGGAGAAGCAATTATCAGCCAGAACCACGGTATGCACCAGTTGAAAGCCAATTGTTCGATCCTAAGACATACGTCTGATACGACTGAAAAGCCGAGGTTCCTGTTAATCGCTGCTTGAAATGGAAATTTCGTGGATTGACCATCACTCACCCCGAACCCTATGACCGGGATCTCGTATCCCGAAACCATCTTCCTGGTCGACGCGAGGGAAAGTGGAGCCATGATATATGGGATTGCGAGTGTACACTGTCACTCTGATCGAGCAGGATACGAGTGAATGGGGGCACTGAGGTTGACAATTCTAGACAGAACAAGAGGGAACGTCGAAGTTGCGGACAAAACATTCAAAATCTAATTTCCAAGTTCCAAGGTGCCCGCATGCCCACGAGGGATGCGCCATCGCCGTGGGCCGAGAGATCAATTGTGGGTCCATTGACTTTATCAATCAGTTGAAGATTCCGTCCGTCCCTGGGCTTGCAGACAGTCGGTCAAGCCGAGTTTCGGACATCCGACCGCCGGTGCCCTGCTCTTTCTTGGGCTTGCACCGAGGATGCGAGCGACTGTTCGAAGCAAACTTGTGTGTTTATTTGATGCCGGACATGCTTTCATGATCCATTTATAGCATGACCTCAGTCTCTAGATTTTTGAACTGAGAGTTTTGTATTCTCATTCATGTTTGCCGAGTACGATTGAGGTCTCATGTCTGTGTCTGCGTGACATTCAAATGATAGCGACACGACGAATCGGGCAATCGATATAAGGAACAGTGCGGTGTTAGGACTGACACTGCGAATGCTCAAATATTTCAGACGATCGAAGTGTGAAGTAGCAGGGTCGAGCCGGCATCTCCTATCCATTCGCAGTCGGCTGTGGGTACTCCTGGAAGAGGAACCCGCGGATCTCGGCACTCTGGAAATCTCTCTTCCAATGAGGCTCAGGGCTTGACGGTCTAGTAGGAAGGGAGAGAGAGAATGCGATGGAAATTAGATCATGGATGTGTACATGGAAGTGGAAATGATGCACAGAGTATTTTCTCTCGAGACACTGGTTGTTATTGATAAGATTGGTTGTTAAGGCGGGCTTCGATCTTCCCTACCTATAGGTCTCCGATGGGATACTGTACTCCTGTAGAGCCTTATATTAGAGACATCAAGAGCGCAGTGGACTACAAAAATATCCTGCCTGCTCGAAATGGCCCTAGCCTACTTGTTGATGATCTTCAAATTCTGAGGTGTAGACGGATAGTTGCCAGAACATATCTTGCCGGTAATGAGCCCAAAACCCATGTTGACACATAGGAGAGCCTATTGTCGACTAAGGGGTATATTTTCAAGTGAGCACAAGAAGTCATGACGAGATATAGCATACCAGAAGAAGACCCTCGAATGGAGGCACAGAGACATGCTAACAACCAAGTCATGATCCACGAAGAGCTCGCTTCGTTATCTTTTATCGATAAGCATCGGCCACAAGCAGCACCTTGCCTTTCCAGGAAGTGTCCCGCACTTCTGCCTGAGGCCGGCTGCCCTTCGTCATTTCTCCAGAGCGCAATAGAGAGAACAGCAGCAGCGCCGAGTTTGCAGAGCGTGATACCTACCAACGAGTGAGCGCTTTGCTTTCACGCGAATCTGAAACCCATTTCCTTTCTCTTCTATACACATATACACTGTCAAATCCGAGAATAGACCATCATGCGTCTTGTCAAGAATAAAATCGAGCTCAATGGCTCCGGGACGGTGACGTTGTGCCCCGAAGAACCAGAGGATATGGTACGCAACGCGAGACCACCAACGTCGAGTCCCCATACTTACCCCCCGATCCTCGACCACAGTGGCACGCATACAATCTGATCCGACCGGGCGACCTTCTCCGCGCCAGCGCCATCCGCCGTGTGACCACCACCCAAGAGACCGGCTCGACAAGCTCGGCACGAGTGCACCTGAACCTCGAGATCCGGGTGAAAAGCCTCGACTTCGACCCGCAGAGCTCGCAGCTGCACGTCAGCGGGCAGATTGTGAACGAGACAGCACATACCAAGGTCGGACAGCACCACACGCTCGACCTCGAACTGAACCGCAATTTCACACTCGAGAAGGAGATTGGCTCCGACGGGGAGGGGGTGGGTTGGGACAGCATCGCCGTGCAAATGCTCAAGGATGCGGTGGACGAGGGTGGGAATCGGCGGGCCGAGGCCGTGGCCGTGGTGATGCAGGAGGGACTGGCTCACATCTGCTTCATCGGGCAGTTTCAGACGATCCTCAAACAGAAGGTCGAGATGTCTGTGCCTCGCAAACGGCACGGCGGCGGGGATCATGACAAGGTAATGTTTTCCCATCCCCTTGCTACTTTGTGTCCCCCCAGAAACCGTTTCCCCCCCTTTGCCGCTGTGATACCCCGCCCATAAATGTCTACCCTTGCTAACGGTCTCACTTTCCTGGCAATGGGAATTGCAGGGCTTGAACAAATTCTTCCAAGTCACGCTCGATACCCTCGTGCGGCAGATGGAATTCAACACCAGCGCCACGGCGCTCTCGACCAACAACGAGACCGTGCGACCCGTCCTCCTCGCGTCGCCGGGCTTCGTCGCGGCCGGGTTCCAGAAATACATCCAAGGGGTCGCCAGCACCAGCATGCCGGCGCTCAAACGTCTCCTGCCGAGCATCGTGGTGGTGCACTCGGCCTCGGGCTACCTCCACTCCCTGGCAGAGGTACTGCAGTCACCCGCGGTGAAGACGATTCTAGCAGACACCAAGTATGCGCGCGAGACGAAGCTCATGGACGACTTCCTGGACCAGCTGCGCAAGGAGACCAACAAGGCGACCTACGGCCCGCGCGAGGTCGAGTCGGCCGTCGACCAAGGGGCGGTGGGCCGCGGCGGCGGCGTGCTGATCATCTCCAACCGGCTGTTCCGGTCGCAGGACGTGGCGGAGCGCAAACGCTGGGTCTCGCTGGTAGACCGCGTGCGGGACGTCGAGGGTGGCGAGGTGCGCGTGTTGAGCTCGGATCATGAGAGCGGCCGGCGGCTGGACGGGTTGGGCGGCGTTGCGGCCTTGTTGACGTTCCCGATCGTCGACGATGCCGGCGAGGACGAGGATGAGGACGATAGCCAATGATAGACATTCCTAGATGCCCCTGGTCCTGCTCCAGATCCATGCTGCCGATCCGTACTTGTAGGGACACCCCGGGAGGTCCACATCAGTAGCATACATCCCCCTTCCCTCCGAAAGACCGACAAAAACAAGTCAACAGCCTCAGGACTCTTTCCAGAACAACAATAGCACAGCCTACATATCCAAACTCCATGAACAGATCAAATCGGACCCTTCAAAAGCGCAATCGCCCTCACCTTCCATATCTCCCAGGCACACAACACAAACAGCGA